CTTCCGGGTTACTGTTTATGGTGTGGTTTGAGGCCATTTGACTCATTGATCATTGTGTTTTGAGACTCGCTTGAGTAGTATTTTTTGTATACGTGTATTTGTTACCTGATTTAATATTTGTATTTAAAAGAGGAATCACTATAAGAATCGACTTTTGGAGACCCGCCATTTCAAGATGCAAGAATTGTCATTTGAAAAAAAAATTCGTTATAAGACACTTCTTACATTGTTAACAATATACCAGTATCGAAATTCAAATCATAATGATAATTTGTTAATTGAACTTAATCACGCTGCTCGAACAATATAGTAACACTAATGTATGTTGGTGCACGGCTTGCACTTAGAATAAACAGTAATAAGCAAGTAAAAACAGGTCAAATCAGAACTGCTAAAAAAGAAGCGAATTTTTTCTTAATCTAGCAACCATGTCATTTTATTGAACAGTACATTTCTAAATAACTAAAACAGATTTTCACCTAAAACTCACCAGATTACATGAGCATCTGATGTAATACAGAAGGTTTGCACTCAGAAATGATATAATTTGTTTCTTTATCAAAAACAAAATCATCTGTTTGAAAGTATCGCCTCTCAGAATAAGCTGTACTAAGCAACTGTATACTTTCTAACAGGAAATAGAGGAGGTAAAGAGCTTACATTTGTATTGAAAACACCATATATACTAACATAACCTTTTCAGGTAGTTTTTGTAAATGAAATGTAGCCTCTTCAGATAACTCTATTAAATCGAACTTTTCTGATAGTTTTAATAAAAATAAACCTTTCAGTTAACATCTAATGAAAGGTATTTTAAAAAGAGCGAAATTTGAAAGAAAGACGTAAATAATTAGAAAATGGAAAGTGGGAAAAAATTATTAACCATTTAATGTTCCTGGTTTTGCCAAAAAAATTAATTGTTGTATTTTTTTCCAACTACACCATTTTAATTTAGATTTGTGTCTGTAAAGATTTTCATACATTCTTATGCTGATTAATTTATATGGCGGATGGAACATAATCATTAAGTGACATTTAATTTATAACTTTTAAGAAATATACTAAATCATGGCTTTGAAATTTTAACAATAACAAATGTCATTCATTTTTTCTGGAGTCGATTCGATCCTCCCCCCTCTATTGTTATTCATTCAATTGAGGTGATGGAACAACAGCTGTTATGATCATTGACATATGTTCCATTCATAGTTTAGTATAAAACTGATTTAACAGCAAGCAGCTGTTATTTTGTGACAAATGAATGCTGGTTTTGTTTTTGTGCGTCTTTGATTGTCATTGATCAACTATTGATGAACAAAGGGCACCCACAGTAAAAATGTTTTTTTAATCGTGGCTATCTTCGTAATTCTAAAAAAAAAAAATGTTTTTACAAGTTTCTTATTAGATTGTCAAGTATAAAATTTGTAGAAAAAAAAATCAAAGTTGGTCGATAGATATAAGAACTATTTCACTCATGGAAATATATTTGCTCTATTCTTTAATTTGTAAGTGGGACTGGTCAAGGAATGTTCCTAGAATGCCAATTTTGCTGCTTTTTCAGAATAATTCTTTTTCTTATATAAAATATGTCCAAATTTCAGTACCGTCTCCACGCTTGGGCACCCCCGTGCAGTGCCGGGGAGCCTCAAGCGCTCAAAGGGTCCTTGTGAATCTAACTTTTTATAAATTTGTATTTCAAGCAACTAAGAATAAACAACATTACATTATTTATATTTTAAAATAAATACTTTCTCTTGTAAAAAGTGTGCATTTTTTCCCCTACAAATTGTGATTGAATATCATGCAAACACCAATACAATTTGAATAGTTTATCACCAAAAAGACTTAAAAATTCCACCGAAATCCGTTTTTCTACGTTAAAATTAAGTTTTTTTGATACTTAACTCTAAGTCAGAATGTCTCTAAATATGCTTGACCACCGCCAACTCTGTTTAGTATTTATAATTAGTTAAATTAAGCAATAAAATTGAAAGATGTTAGAATTACGCAGAAATATGGGACAGCAACTTTTAAACTGGTTATGTTTGATGTGTATTGAAAAGATGTTTTAATAACTGACTTTATTTTGACGAAATAATTCATACCTTTTAGATTATTTTATTTGTTATACCCTTATGTTTTTTTAAAAATTTAATTACTTTAATTAGGTTTTTGTCTTGAAAATTATTTGAGGATTGCTACTGGTTATCATCTAAATTTTTTTAGAAATTATGCATGATTTAAAAATGCTTTATTTTATATGCATTGAGTTTTTGGGGTGATAAAAATGTGTGTTATCTCAGTTAATTGTCAAAAATATCTTTTAAAATTTCCAAGATGCTTTCTTTAAGAACTATGTTTAGTACAGTTTTATGTTCCATATAGTATCCTAATATTAAAAAATTCAATCTATTTGATTATTAAGACGAAAACTAACGTATTTCCTTCTCCTATGACTATCCAGTCACTAATGATGAAAGCATGAAAAAGTGTCGCCATAAGTAGAGAGTTCTGCTTTGCGCCACCAGTAGCCCATTTCGATTTCCAATTGAAAAGAGTACCTTTCGATATGATATGGGTCGATAATAATTCTTGAGATATTTAAAAATTTACGAAAACGGCTGCTTGGAAATTTATTTTTAACTTGGCAAAATTATTCCAATATTCTGAAGTGCGATTTCTACAATGCAGTACTGAAAAAAATCGCGAAGATATATATGAAAAAAATCGTGAAGATGATTTTTTTAGCACTGTACTGTAGAAACTTTTAATATTAATTTGAGAATTTTTCACATTCAGATAATTATAAAACATTTCAGAAAATTATGCAATTACGTATAACAATATTTTTTTAAGTACTACATGCGCAAATCCCTTATTTAAATTTCAGAATTTTTATTTTTACATTCAAATATTCAAAAGTTAAGGAGTTTTTTGTTTATCAGCAAAGAAATTTCCAGCAACAGAATGCCGTCATCTACACGAAAATTCTTCAAAGTAGGGATTTTTGAATAAGAGTGCAGGTCATGAATGACCTGTCCTTTCTCCTGACCTCAATCTACAAGAAAACATGAAATGCTACCCTCAGTAAGGCTATATGGATGGTTAACTGAATATAAACAATAACCATCTTCCTAAAACCGTAAAAAAAATTAGATAACTTCCTGTGTATCCCTCAGTTTATGTTATGCTTTCGAGGTGATGTGTTAACAGGCTTAATATTCTGGGAAGTTTTATTTTATTAATGTGATTTGTGTTTTAAGTTACGGGTAATTTTACCATTCATAAGACCAGTAAAACACCGAAGTCAAGCATCACTGGCTACAGTAAACGGGAGGGTGAGCACTTTGATCAGTCTGCGTAAGGACAGGGCCCGACTTAGAGTAATTGGGGCCCCCTCTGCTTCTCTACTTCATTAATGAAGGTATTTAAAATGGAGAAATTTAAAGGTATTTAATTTTGATGTATTTAAATCCCCCCCCCATAAAAGATAACAAGAAAATTGACTAGAACCTAAAATAGCTATGAAGTCCCTCCCATCTAATGGTCCATTTTATTGATTTTCTGATAATTCTATGTGCATCATGCCGATTGCAGTTTTCTGATTGTTAACTTAGCCATCTAGCAGCGAAAAATTCAAATCCTTGCTGACATTACGGCTAAATTTACGCAATTACGATGACTCAATTAAGACCATCAGATGCCTGTATATCTATAAAAATATCGCATCTTGTTATATGTAGAAATACAGGCTTTTGATTGGCATAATTTGACTATGGTAATTGCGAAAATTTAGCTGAATTCCGCCTTAGAGAGCCATGAAATATAGATTGTGTTCATACGATAGATTAATGAAGAAGCTAACATAAAACTGATGGATTTTACGCTGTACTGATATTTTGTTTTAAAAAAGTTCATTAAAGAATGTTACGTAAAATGAACTTTCTATTCGATTTGGATGCCCCCTCTAATGTAGGGGCCGGGGCAACTGCCCCGTATGCCCCAACCCTAGTCAGGCTCTGCGTATGGACCGAGAATGCGTGGTAACGGTCCTCTTTAAACTGCTCTACCGTAAAGTGCTTGACTTCGCTCGCAGTTCGTCGGGCTACCAAAGCAGAGGAGCTGTGGGGGAATTAATCTTAGACTATGTCAACCTTCATCTATCAAAAGGTACCTCGTGATGGATTCAAGTTAACATAGTCTAAGATTAATTCCCCCACAGAGCCATTCTCTTTTCAGCGTATCAAAATTGCGATGGCCTGTCTTCAGATCATCCTCAGGGATGTTTCCCAGACCGTCGCCAATAACCCATTGTGCAGCTCTAGTGCGACGTTAATTAAATACCTACTTACCTGCCATTCATGAAAGCTAACTATAATTTATAAATTCTAAGGGGATATTTCCGTATCGTGATTTGTAGCATCAACTACAATCGCTAAGGTGCCAAATAGATTTTAAACTTACATATTTAAAAAAAATTTAAACTTACAGATTAAAAAACAAAATGCAGATGTGTGTGTTTGCCCAGGGGTGGCTATGATTTACAGCTTTCGAGTTGGTAGTTTTCTGCGATTTTTTTTAAAAATTTTCTCCCCAACAAGATTTAGCGATAATTCGTGTGGAGAGTCATAAAGGAAGGAAATACGTTAGTTTCTGTCTTGATTTTCATGTAAATTAAAATCTTTTAATTTTTAAAACTATATGGAACTGAAAACTACATTAAACATAGTTCTAAAGAAAAGCATCACGAAAATTTAAAAAAATATTTTTATTAAATAAAAAGTACATTTTATTAAATAAAATCGTAGTACATTCCTATACAATTGAAAAGAGAAGAGGGAAGGGCAAAGGGCAAAACACATGAAACTGGTTTCTCCCCAGATGGCGCATTCGAGCGTTGCGATCGCCACGCCAATATCGATATCTCCCCGATTTTGGCGGTAAATCTGAGTTGCAAGCTTCATTTGGTGGTAAAAGAAAACAAATCTCGATATCCAAACCTGCACGACTTCTCCCTAGAAAGTTTGCAACTGTTTACTACGTAGTTTATTGTGAGAGGCAATATTTTCAGAAATAATTTTGTTAGTATGAGTAAATAATTTAATTTCTAAACTCAAGTCTGCTGCATTTCATAAGATTTTAGTGATAATAAGTTATTGTGATAAGTTTGAAGAGAAAATTTGTTTTAGTCATTTATTGATATGTTAAAAAAGGCCATATAGCTACTGTATTTAGAAAGAACTTTATTCTTTACCTTCTTTTGAAGTTTGAAAACTTTTTCATTAAAACTATTGTTATTCTATTTAAAACTATTTGTTTTTGTTGCAAGCATACGCTAGTGTTAGTATTTAAAGTAGTGAGATGTATATTTTGTAGATAATAATTTAGATTTATCATATTGTTGACAAGGTGATAAGTGGTTTATAATGATTTTAATTCTAATTTCTAATATTAATTTTAAGTTTTTCTTACATTTATAACCGCATGTTTACTATCTTTCTACCAATTTATACTCATTATTATATAACTGCAAATAATGTGTGTGATTCATATTATTAAGTCATTTGAAAACTGTTATTGAGTTTTGAGTGTTGTCCTTAACATCTAATAGGCATGACATTTTTTATATAATTGATATCTCTTAATTTTTACTTGGAGAAATTGTCTAAGACAGACTTGGCTAGTAAAATGTTGTTGTGCTGAGAAAAAACAAGAATAGATGTCTCCAGTACCGTCTTTACGCATAGGCAGGGAATAAATAACATTGCCTTATACAGTTTTTAAAATATGTTCTACCGGGTAAAGTGTGCCTTTCATTTTGTTTTTTTCGTACAAGTAGTAATTATCATGCAAACACCAATATTTTGAATAGTTTATCACCAGAAAAACTTAAAAAGGCAACCTAAATCTATTTTTCTACGTTCCAATGAAAGTCTTAGGTACTCGTGAAAATTTCAGGTACTTTGGCATTGAAAGATGTTTTAATAACTGTTTAATTTGACAAAATAATTCATACCTTTTGGTTTGTTATACCTTTATGTTTATTTAATTTCATTATTTTAATTAACTTCCATGGTTTTGAAAATTATTTATTTATTTGAAGTTATTATGGTTAGCATCAATGTGTTTTTTTTGTTTTTTTTTTGCATTGTTTAAAAATGGTTTTGAGTTTTTCAGGATGATCAAAATGTGCATATTTTGAAAATTATTTATTTTATATTTGTGAAATTTGTTAGTTTTTTTTTTTAAAAACATTCTGGCATGTTATAGGGGCCTAAAACATTTTGGTGGGGACCCTGCATGCTGTTACAAAGGTACATAGCGTTTTGAGAAAGTGCTTAAAGGTGCTTATTTTTGATTAACATTTTTTAAGAGCCCTTAGAGGTATTTTTTAAAAATTTTATTTGGAGTTCGTAAAAAGTGCTTTAATTTTCTATCTTTTTAAAAAGAGATTTTTTTCTTTGCCGTGTCAGAAACTGATTATGCGAAGTTTGGGAAAATGTTTTTGAATTTTATTGATTTTATGTTCACAAATTAAGGACTTTCAGCGATAGAAAAAATAATTTCTATTACTGAATTAATTAAGATTTCTTTTTTGAAGGTGATTAAAAATATTTTTTGAGTGCTTAAAAAGTACTTAAAAGTTTCTTAAAAAATCTAGCTATGCACCCTGTATTCTGGATGTCTCTATCTAAACAGGGTCCGTTGAGTGATTTAAATCAGCTTGTTTTAAAACTGATTAGAACAAGTTGATTTCCCCCCCCCCTTAAACCTGCATCTTTTATATAGTAGAATGTTCTCTTTTGGATATGTGGTGGATATTATCTTTTTTACATATTTTATTGCATTTCATCTCTTAGACATTTTTTGATAACTGTCTACTGTAGGTCGTAATTAGGGAATATTGTTTTTGGCCAGTGGCAAATAGTAAAATTTTCAATTGTGGTCCCTTTTTTTATAAAACAAATAATTAAAAATAAAACTATTAATAATGAAATGTAAGGCATTACTTTTGAAGTATCACCCTAAATATGNAAATCCTTTCTTACAGGAAAGTGGTATCTTTTTGGAGGGGACACAACAGGGCGCATTTAATTATATCAGGGCAGGATAAAAGGAGTAAAGGGCAATAGGGCGGATATTTTATATCAAAAGGGCATACGGGGCGGGCCGCCCCGTAAACCCCGCTTAGAATGAACCCTGAACATGGTTAATACTTTTTTGAAAGTAAACCTCTCGCGATACACAGAAAACAAAAGAAATCAATGCTTACCTGTAAAGTAGGAGAACTAATTAATTATCTAACAGGCAGGGGCCTGTCCACACATCTTGTAAAAGGTCCTGTTTTTGTAAAATTGTGAAAAAATTACTCGTAATTTGTGACTATAAAATAAACGTTGAGTCATATTCTTTCAACCAGGGTCCTGCTTTTGTGAATTTGTGCAAATAGGGATCCTGTTATTGCAAAAAAACTTTTTCAATGAGTTTTTTAATTGTAAATAGATACAAGATGTGCACAGCATTGTAAAATTATAATTTTAAAAAATTAAATTTTCAAAAATAAATAGCAATTACTGCTATTAAATTAGAGATGTAACATAAATATTTGGTATTTAGCCTGTGCTGCAGATTGCTGAATATTCGTTTTGGACGAATAAAGAAAGAAGCGTCTGCCGAAGACTAAACTTGGTTGGTTTACATCGTCTTTCTTCCTCTTCCCCTGGGAAGGGTTTATTTGATTAACAAAACAATAGAGAAGTTAGACAATATTGTGAAGAGTCCGATTAAAAGATAAATTATTTTCTGAAGGGTCCGTTTTTATGAAAAGATGTTTTGTGAAGGGTTCGTTAACGGACCCAAATTTCTTCTAAACAGACCCCTGTGTTCATTTATATGAATGTTTCATTTATATCAACGCCTCAAAGAATATATTTCTGTTCTCTTTTTTCTTCCACTGTTCTGTGTAAATACAATCTTCAAATTTATATGAAAATGAAAGAAATTTTCAGAGGGAAAAGAAGCATTTAGAGCATTTAAGACATAATTTTAGCAAAAAATTTACATGCTTTGAAAAGTGTGAAAAGTAGCGTATTTTTTCCCCTCAATTTAATGCAAATAAAGTTTTTTCTCCAAATTTAGAAAAAATAGTGTCCGGTTTGAGGAAATAGAAAATAACGTTTCAAAGGGCAAAGATGACTGTCTGCGTCCGGTTTACAGATATGTCTGTTTCACGGAGAATGTACCTAATGATTTATTCATAGAAGGTTCATAGGGAATTGAATGAATGTCCGTATTGAGAGGCTTCTGTTTCGCTGGTGTGTCCATAGCAGGAGTTTCGCTGTATTTCTATTTTTCTTAATAAAGTTATAGAGTAAAGGGTATTCATTTAAGAAATATATTTTTCTCGACATGCATTTGATTACATTCTTTATATTTTATTCTCACAAATAAAAAAATATTTTATTTTGAATAGTGTGATAAGTACTGCTCTTTCAAATCTCATGAAAGATGGCTTTGATGTTAAAGCTCTTCGAGCATTCCGTGTTCTTCGTCCTCTGAGGCTTGTATCGGGGGTGCCAAGTAAGTTCATTCACAAATCCTAATTAGTTTTCCTTCTATGTGCTTTAAATTTAAAGCAAGATTTATTTGAAAACAATAAATTAACCACTTAGTTCATTCAGTTTCAGTTTAATTATGACAAGTTATTTTCTTCATGAGTCCAGCTATAGTTTATATTGTATACTTGCATATGCTTACTTATATTATACACTTGCATTTCAATTTAATTATGACAAGTTATATTCATCATGAGTCCAGTTATTGTTTGTATTATATATTTGCTTATATTATATTCTTGCATTTCAATTTAGTTATGAATAGTTATATTCATCATGAGTCCACATATAGTTTATACTTGCATATACTACTTGCTTATATTATATACTTGCATGTCAATTTAATTATGGCAAGTTATATTCTTCATTAGTTAAGCTATAGTTTATATTATATACTTGCTTTTATTATACTCTTGAGTTTCAATTTAATCATTAGTCCAGCTATAGTTTATATTATATACTTGCATATATTATGCACTTGCATTTCAATTTAATTATGACACATTATATTCATGAGTCCAGCTATAGTTTATATTAAGTACTTGCATATGCTTACTTATATTATATACTTGCATTTCAATTTAATTATGGCTATATATACTTATGACTAATATACTTGCAGTATATACTTATGACTTATGATTAATATACATCTTATTCATGGTGTGCCCAGATATAGTTTATACTTGCATATACTACTTTTATTATACTCTTGCATTTCAATTTAATCATTAGTCCAGCTATAGTTTATATTATATACTTGCATATATTATACACTTGCACTTAAATTTAATAATGACGAGTAATATTAATCACGAGACCAGCTATAGTTTATATTATACTTGCATGTACTTGCTTATACTATACACTTGCATTTCAATTCATTATGGCGAGTTATATTCATCGTGCGTCCAGATATAGTTTATATTATATACTTGCATATATTTGCTTATATTATTAATTTGCATTTCAATTTGGTTATGACAAGTTTTATACATTATTAGTTCAGCTATAGTTTATATTATATCCTTGCTTATTTTATACACCTGCATTTCAATTTAATTATGAGGAGTTATACTCTTCCGGAAGCCAGCTACAGTTTATATTATATACTTTCATATACTTGATAATATTTTATACTTTCATTTCAATTTCATTATGACGAGTTATATTCATCTCGAGTCCAGCTATAGTTCATTTTACATACTTGCTTATATTATACATTTACATTTGAATTTAATATGGTGAGTTATATTCATCGTCAGTCCAGCTATAGTTTTATATACTTGCATATGCTTAAGATACACTTGCATTTCAATTTGATTATGACAAGTTATATTCATCATAAGTTCAGCTATAGTTTATATTATATGCTTTTGTTATACTCTTGCATTTTAATTTAATCATAAGTCCAGCTATAGTTTTTATTATATACTTGCATTTATTATACACTTGCACTACAATTTAATAATGACAAGGAATATTAATGATGAGTGCAGTTATAGTTTATATTATGAACTTGCATATACTTGCTTATATTATACACTTGCATTTCAATTTAATTATGACAAGTAATATTCATGAGTCCAGTTATTGTTTGTATTATATACTTGCTTATATTATATTCTTGCATTTCAATTTAGTTATGAATAGTTATACTCATCATAAGTTCACCTATAGTTTATACTTGCATATACTACTTGCTTATATTCTATACTTGCATTTCAATTTAATTAGGACAAGTTATATTCATCGTGTGTCCAGATACAGTTTATATTATATCCTTGCTTATTTTATACACTTGCATTTCAATTTTGTTATGACAAATTGTAATCTTCATTAGTTCAGCTGTAGTCTATATTATATCCTTGCTTATATTATGCACTTGCATTTCAATTTAATGATGATGAGTTATACACTTCAGGAGTCCAGCTGCAGTTTATATTATATACTTTCATATACTTCATAATATTTTATACTTGCATTTCAATTTTATGATGACGAGTTATATTCTTCTCAAGTCCAGCTATAGTTCATTTTATGTACTTGCTTATATTATATATTAACATTTGAATTTATTATGGCGAGTTATATTCATAGTCAGTCCAGCTATAGTTTATATTATATACTTGCATGTTTTTCTTATATTATACACTTGCATTTCAATTAATTATGGCAAGTTATATTCATCGGGAGTCCAGCTATAGTTTATATTATATACTTGCTTATATTATATACTTGCATTTCAATGTAATATGACACGTTATATTCGTCATTATTTCAGCTATAGTTTATTATATCCTTGCTTTTATTATATACTTGCATTTAAATTTTATTATGACAAATTGTAATCTTCATTTGTTCAGCTATAGTCTATATTATATCCTTGCTTATATTATGCACTTGCATTTCAATTTCATGATGATGAGTTATACTTTTCTGGAGTCCAGCTACAATTTATATTATATACTTCATATACTTGATAATATTTTATACTTGCATTTCAATTTAATGATGAGTTCTACACTTCAGGAGTCCAGCTACAGTTTATATTATATACTTTCATATTCTTGATAATATTTTATACTTTCATTTCAATTCCATTATGACTAGTTATATTCCTCTTGAGTACTTTTATGTACTTGCTTTTATTATACTCTTGCGTTACAATTTAATCATTAGTCCAGCTATAGTTTATATTATATACTTGCATATATTATACACTTGCACTAATTTAATAATACCGAGTAATATTAATCATGAGACCAGCTATAGTTTGTATTATATACTTGCATGTACTTGCTTATATTATACACTTGCATTTCACTTTATTATGGCGAGTTATATTCATCATGTGTCCAGATATAGTTCATATTATATACTTGCATATATTTGCTTATATTATATACTTGCATATGATTGCTTATATTATTAATTTGCATTTCAATTTGGTTATGACAAGTTTTATACATTATAAGTTCAGCTGTAGTTTATATTATATCCTTGCTTATATTATACACTTGCATTTCAATTTAATTATGACAAGTAATATTCATCATTATTTCAGCTATAGTTTATATTTTATACTTGCTTATATTATACACCTGCATTTCAATTAAATATGGCAAGTTATATTCATCGTGAGTCCAGCTATAGTTTATATCATATACTTGCTTTTATTATACTCTTGCATTTCAATTTAATCATTAGTCCAGCTATAGTTTATATTATTTACTTGCATATATTATACACTTGCACTTCAATTTAATAATGATGAGTAATATTAATCATGAGACCAGCTATAGTTTATATTATATACTTGCATGTACTTGCTTATATTATATACTTGCATAAGTTTGCTTATATTATTAATTTGAATTTCAATTTGGATATGACAAGTTTTATACATTATTTGTTCAGCAGTAGTTTATATTATATCCTTGCTTATTTTATACACTTGCATTTCAAATAAATTATGAGGAGTTATACTCTTCAGGAGTCCAGCTACAGTTTATATTATATACTTTTATATGCTTGATAATATTTTATACTTTCATTTCAATTTCATTATGACGAGTTATATTCATCTCAAGTTCAGTTATAGTTCATTTTATGTACTTGCTTATAATATTATACATTTACATTTGAATTTATTATGGCGAGTTATATTCGTTAGCCCAGCTTTAGGTCATATTATATGCTTGCATGTTTTTGCTTATATTATACACTTGCATTTCAATTAATTATGGCAAGTTATATTCATCGTGAGTCCAGCTATATTTTATATTATATACTTGCATATATTATACACTTGCCCTTCAATTTAATATTGACGAGTAATATTAATCATTAGACCAGCTATAGTTTATATTATATACTTGCATGTACTTGCCTATATTATACACTTGCATTTCAATTTATTATGGCGAGTTATATTCATCGTGTGACCAGACATAGTTTATATTATTTACTTGCATTTATATGCTTAGATTGTATACTTGAATATATTTGCTTATATTATTTATTTGCATTTCAATTTAATTATAAGGAGTTATACTCTTCAGGAGTCCAGCTACAGCTTATATTATATACTTTCATATACTTGATAATATTTTTTGCTTGCATTTCAATTTTATGATGACGAGTTATACTATTCATGAGTCCAGCTACAGTTTATATTATATACTTTTATATGCTTGATATTATTATATACTTTCAATTCAATTTCATTATGACGAGTTATATTTATCTCAAATCCAGCTATAGTTCATTTTATGTATTTGCTTATATTATAAATTTACATTTGAATTTATTTTGGTGAGTTATATTTATCGTCAGTCCAGCTATAGTTTATATTATATACTTGCTTTTATTATACTCTTGCATTTCAATTTAATCATTAGTCCAGCTATAGTTTATATTATATACTTGCATATATTATACACTTGCACTGCAATTTCATGATGACGAGTAATATTAATCATAAGTCCAGCTATAGTTTATCTTATATACTTGCTTATATTATACACTTGCATTTCAATTTAATTGTGACAAGTGATATTCATCATTAGTTCAGCTATAGTTTATTATATCCTTGCTTTTATTATATGCTTGCATTTCAATTTTATTATGACAAATTGTAATCTTCATTAGTTCAGCTATAGTATATATTATATCCTTGCTTATATTATGCACTTGCATTTCAATTTAATTATGAGGAATTATTCTCTTCAGGGGTCCAGCTACAGTTCATATTATATACTTTCGTATACTTGATAATATTTTATACTTGCATTTCAATGTATTTTGACAAATTATATTCGTTATTATCTCAGCTATAGTTAATATTTTATACTTCCTTATATTATACGCTTGCATTTCAATTAATTATGGCAAGTTATATTCATCGTGAGTCCAGCTATAGTTCATATCATATACTTAGTTTTATTATACTCTTGCATTTCA